GATAAAAATGAAATCATATCAATATAAGAAAATAGAAATCATATCAATGCAAAAACAGAAATTATGTGAACACCGAACTCACAATAGATATGTGAACCCTTCTCACACACAGGAGTCCCAAAGAGGGACAGGTCAGCCGAAATTGCCTAGGCAGAAGGCGACCTCTTAAACACCTAATGCAACAACAACACTGGTCAGTACACAACACCACTGACAGTAAACTGCTTGACTGTAATCGTTCCTCTTCTTCTTATTAAGGTAAGAAACATTTTATTATTTGATACATTTGGTCCTATATTATATATATGTGTGTGATATATTCTAGATAGTCTTTGTTTCTATAGATGGTTAACTCTAACAAGCTAATGTAAGATTGTGGAGACATATTTGCACTGTGCATGTGCACGGGTCCCTTGTATGTTTAAATAATGAAGCGTTCATTATTACCTATGTACGTATGAAAGATCAAACACAATAACGTTCGTGTTTGAGATATTTGTTTACCAGAACTTGTATGTACTATGAATAGATGTTTACTATACTTTGTATGTTTTATGAAATGTGTTTAGCACCACATGTGTCCGTAAATGAGCAGTAATTACCTATTAATTGAATATGATTTTCCATTATCAATATCCGAATATACACGGTATCAGAACACAATATGTATCAAATAAATGTCATGAAAGTAACGTTAATCGGATGGTATGTTGAACGATAAAGACACAGACAGTTAGTCTGTATATCTAATGTTCGGCCGTTACAGAAACTGTTACTTTATCATATTTTGATACAAACGATGACAAAGCATTGATGAACTTAGAAATCAAATCTAACATCGTGATAAGTCAACTCCATGCAAATGATACTATTCTGATTATCAATATCGTTCATATCCTACATCTACATGTTTTATTATACTTGGTTTGAGGTTATTGTTATTATCGTTTATCGCGTATATGTCTATCTACATTTAGTAAATAGCGCGTCTCACTTCGGACGTAATAAGCCAAGCGTATTTATAGTTACGTTACTTACAAAGGCAGTCACAGGTCATAATGTTGGTGTTATGATGTAATGCTCTCTCTAGACATGAAAGTGTGCTTAGCTCTACCTATAGCTATATCCCCTACCTTTCCATCTTCCCCCCTCAAGTATTATAACCGTTGCTTATTCGATCGTTCTATCATTATTCTATATGTTTCATGTATTCATACTATTATCATTCTATGTTCCATGTATTGCTATTATGTCTCTTGTATTCTGTATTATAAGACACAACACCACTGACAGTAAACTGCTTGACTGTAATCGTTCCTCTTCTTCTTATTAAGGTATAATCAAGTTCCCAAACCCGGGACAAAACCTTGATTATAGAATCCCTGTTAGAAGTGTTCGGTCCGACCCAAGCCAAACACTTCTGATAGAGACTATGTTGAGAATGTAGAGGGGAAAAGGGCTTCACTTTGAGCACCTTGTTTTCTTTAAGTACAGCCATCTGTGACATTATAAAGTGGTATTTAGGTAGATATAGTACTAATCTATAGATGTGTATCCAGTTGATGATACATCTGTGAGGTTTAAGTTGATTTTGACAGCCCGGGCCAAGTCGGACCGAACACTTCTGACATAGATTTTTTAAAGAAAATACAGTAACAATGCTTCACTTTGGGCACCTTGTATTCTTTAAATACGATGTACCGTGACATTATAAAGTGGTGTATAGGTAGATATAACACTAATCTATAGATGTAAACACATTTGAAGATACATCTGTGTGTTAAAAGTTGATTTTGACCGCCCGGGCCAAGTCGGACCAAACACAAGCCAAACACTTCTGATAGAGACTATGTTGAGAATGTAGAGGGGAAAAGGGCTTCAATTTGAGCACCTTGTTTTCTATAAATACTGCAATCTGTGACCCTATAAAGTGGTGTATAGGTAGATATAATACTAATCTATAGACGTGAATCCATTTGATGATACATCTGTGAGGTTTAAGTTGATTTTGACAGCCCGGGCCAAGTCGGACCGAACACTTCTGACATAGATTTTCTGAAGAAAATACAGTAACAATGCTTAACTTTGAGCACCTTGTATTCTTTAAATACGATATACTGTGACATTATAAAGTGGTATATAGGTAGATATAACACTAATCTATATATGTAAACACATTTGATGATACATCTATGTGTTTAAAGTTGATTTTGACAGCCCGGGCCAAGTCGGACCCAACACAAGCCAAACACTTTTTATAGAGACTATGTTGAGAATGTAGAGGGAAAAGGGCTTCACTTTGAGCACCTTGTTTTCTTTAAATGCAGTGAACTGAGACACTATAAAGTGGTATATAGGTAGATATAATGCTAGTCTATAGATTTAAAGACATTTGATGATACATTTGTGTGTTTAAAGTGCATTTTGACCGCCCGGGCCAAGTCGGACCCAACACAAGCCAAACACTTCTGATAGAGACTATGTTGAGAATGTAGAGTGAAAAAGGCTTCACTTTGAGCTCTGTGTTTTCTTTAACTACTGAAATATGAGACAATAAAGTGGTAAATAATTAGATATAATACTAGTCTTTAGATATAAATAATGTTAGGATCTTTAGAAGTGCTTGGACAGTTATTAACACGTGTCGTGTCAGTCCTTTGACATTCGCGAATATCCACTTCCAGAAAACATCCTGTGTTGGTTTAACACGAATTAGTAAAGGTTAATTACCTTAACACGTTAATTAATGAAAGAAGTGTAGTCAAAACACTGTCGTTTCCTGCCCAGGACATCACACCCCTACACGCTAAGGTCGGTGAGAAGCATTCTAATCAAGAATACACACAGTCAAGACGCTGACTTTTCTACGAGACTCACGGTATGTAGTCATAATCATCAGTTTATTACATTGTTGAAGGTGCATTTTTATTCAAACTCAATTAAATGCGCAAAACTATACGTTTGTGGACATTTGAGATCTGCCTAGATAAGCACGTTTCGTTTTTATTCTGCAATCCATTTTTAGTATTACCCGCGGGCCCGGCCCGGCCCGACTTTTCTTGGCCCGACTTTTAGGCAAAAAATGTCTGCAGTTAATTCCAGCGTATGGAACGACAAGACACAAAAGTTCAACCTATGGCTGGCCAGTCAAATGCCAATTCACAATAACCAAATAAGTTCGCCAGTCATCTGTGATACCAACCCATACCCATTAACCCAAACAATGTAGCCCTGCCCAGAGACCATATACCGGTATATGGTCTCTGCCCTGCCCTACAGCTCGCCATCAACAATGTTTTTTCTGCCATCAGTGAATCGTCTCTAAGGATGGTGTTACGACATTGGCACAAAGCCCGTCCCCAATCTTTGCCGCCTATGGTAAGTTTTAAGGGTCACGCTCCACACGGGAGACTTTCACTGGCTTTATGGCGGGCTGCCTCGAACCTGTTTCTAACGGTAGATGTTGAAATTCGCCTTTCTGTTTTTGTACGGAATTCTCTATTGACAACAAAAGCAGATTTGAATCTATTGTGTTTTGCAATTAATGTAATGAAACGATTTGGTACAAGTGTCTTTATTTTATTCCTGCCGCTACCAGGTCTCGTTTGCAACCTCACGCGTTTGATGGTACATGTCCCACAGTCGAGAAATTACACTTTTTGATTTGCCAACCATTTTTGCAACATGGGATATTGATGTGCCCCCGTGTATCATACCCACAATTTGGACCAGATCCGGAGTAGAATAGATCTTCAGCAACCCATGCTTGCCGTAAAAAGCGACTGTGCTTGTCGTAAGAAGCGACGAACCTGCTCGGGCGGTCAGGCTTGCTGACTTGGTTGATACATGTCATCGTATCTCAATTGCGTGGATCGATGCTCATGATGTCAATCACTGGATTCTCTGGTCAAAACTGGATTATTTACAGACCGCCGTCATATAGCTGGAGTATTGTTGAGTACGGCGTTAAACAACAAACCAAACAAACCCACAATTTGCCTTTATGTCTGTTCACCGAGATACGGGCGATTTGTGGAAACACTGCAGACGTCAGTAAGGAGGTCGGGCGATTTGTGGAAACACTGCAGACGTCAGTAAGGAGGTCGGGCGATTTGTGTAAACACTGCAGACGTCAGTAAGGAGGTCGGGCGATTTGTGGAAACACTGCAGACGTCAGTAAGGTGGTCGGGCGATTTGTGGAAACACTGCAGACGTCAGTAAGGAGGTCGGGCGATTTGTGGAAACACTGCAGACGTCAGTAAGGAGGTCGGGCGATTGGTGGAAACACTGCAGTCGTCAGTAAGGAGGTCGGGCGATTGGTGGAAACACTGCAGACGTCAGTAAGGAGGTCGGGCGATTTGTGGAAACACTGAAGACGTCAGTAAGGAGGTCGGGCGATTTGTGGAAACACTGAAGACGTCAGTAAGGAGGTCGGGCGATTTGTGGAAACACTGCAGACGTCAGTAAGGAGGTCGGGCGATTTGTGGAAGCACTGCAGACGTCAGTAAGGAGGTCGGGCGATTGGTGGAAACACTGCAGACGTCAGTAAGGAGGTCGGGCGATTGGTGGAAACACTGCAGACGTCAGTAAGGAGGTCGGGCGGTTTGTGGAAACACTGCAGACGTCAGTAAGGAGGTCGGGCGATTTGTGGGAACACTGCAGACGTCAGTAAGGAGGTCGGGCGATTTGTGCTGTCTGCACCATTTCGTTGCGGTGGTGCTCTTTTATGGGAAATTGAAAGGTCACGAAATTACATGCCTCTACAATGTACTCCTCTGTAATGTAATCTCTCGAAAACACTCTTTTATATCTAGCTGAGTCACTTATTGTATCGGGGCGGTCGGGTAGCCTAGTGGTTAAAGCATTCGCTCGTCACGCTGAAGACCCGGGTTCGATTCCCGACATGGGTACAATGCGTGAAGCGTGTATATATGTGTGTGTGTTCAAAACATTTTTCGAATTCATCAAAAACGCTTGAAAAAGAAGAGTAACACAACGAAAATGAAACAATAATGTATTTGAAACTTTCTCCCTTCAAACTTTTCTTTCATTCTTTGGCATCACCTATTATTTTCGCCTCCTTTATCCATTTTCCATGTCCACTTTTGATTTGGTAGTCCGGTGCAGTTGGATAACTGAATTCCATGTTTCATTATGAAAGAAAGGCAGGTATTGGTCGACACGTGTTGCAATGACCGGTCCTAGAAGAAGGAGGCAGGAGTGAGAGCGAATTATGTTTAACACCTTAGTAAGCAATATGCCAGCTACATCACAGATGCCTGTATACAATCGAGTGCAGCGGGAAACCTAGTGACTGTAAGCATGTGTCACGCCATCGAGACAGCCCAAACCTCATTTTCAGTCGGCTTTTACAACAGGTGTATGGAATCTTGAATCACCTACGGCACAAGTCGGCGATTCCGTGGTCACATTCCAAATATTTAGGAAGACACCTAACAATAATTATATCTATATATTTTTATCGTAACTTAATTGTTGAAATTATAAATTCAAAAATGGCAAAAAGGATTCCAAACTATCCCAATTTCCAGAATAGAAATGCAGATGTTGTACATGAAGAAACTTCATATTTTACCTCTCTGTACTGAAATATCTGGGTTGTGTTGTTGTTGCAGGGAGCTAGACGGGGCTTCTTGCCCTTTGAAACATCAATACATATTAGCCCCTGCCTGATCTGGCCTGACTTCATGTGGTACCAAATCTGGAAATAGAAGTAACTATCACCATACCATCTCTTCAAGTAGTGTTTGTCAGGTGGGCATACACTCGTCATTAGTGTCTACCACGGCCGCATAAAGCCGTGTCTTTAGTTTCTGCCGGGTGTGCATACAGTCGACTGCAGTGTGTCAAGTGTGCATACAGTCGTGTCTGTAGTGTCTGCCACTTGTTAACACAATCGCGTTTTGTGTGCCACGTGTGCGTGCAGTCATGTTCAGTTTCTGTCAGGTGTGCTTACAATCGTTTTGAGTGTCCACCAGGTGTGCATACAGTCAAGTTTTTGGTGTCTGCAGTGTCTGCCAGGTGTGTAAACATTTGTCTTTAGTGTATGCCATGCGTGCATACAATTATCTGTAGTGTATGCCATGCCTGCATACAATTATCTGTAGTGTATGCCATGCGTGCATACAATTATCCGTAGTGTTTGCCAGGTTTGCATACAATTATCTGTAGTGTATGCCATTCGTGCATACAATTATATGTAGTGTATGCCATGCGTGCATACAATTATCTGTAGTGTATGCCATGCGTGCATACAATTATATGTAGTGTATGCCATACGTGCATACAATTATCTGTAGTGTATGCCATGCGTGCATACAATTATATGTAGTGTTTGCCATGCGTGCATACAATTATCCGTAGTGTTTGTCATGCGTGCATACAATTATCTGTAGTGTATGCCATGCGTGCATACAATTATCTGTAGTGTATGCCATGCGTGCATACAATTATATGTAGTGTTTGTCATGCGTGCATACAATTATCTGTAGTGTTTGCCATGCGTGCATACAATTATCTTTAGTGTATGCCATGCGTGCATACAATTATCTGTAGTGTTTGCCAGGTTTGCATACAATTATATGCAGTGTATGCTATGCGTGCATACAATTATATGTAGTGTATGCCATGCGTGCATACAATTATCTGTAGTGTATGCCATGCGTGCATACAATTATATGTAGTGTATGCCATGCGTGCATACAATTATCTGTAGTGTTTGCCATGCGTCCATACAATTATCTGTAGTGTTTGCGATGCGTGCATACAATTATCCGTAGTGTTTGCCATGCGTGCATACAATTATCTGTAGTGTTTACCAGGTGTGCATACAATTATCTGCAGTGTATGCCATGCGTGCATACACTTATCCATAGTGTTTGCCATGCGTGCATACAATTATATGTAGTGTTTGCCATGCGTGCGTGTATACAATTATATGTAGTGTTTGCCATGCGTGCATACAATTATATGTAGTGTATGCCATGCGTTCATACAATTATATGTAGTGTATGCCATGCGTGCATACAATTATCTGTAGTGTTTGCCAGGTGTGCATACAGTTATATGTAGTGTATGCCATGCGTGCATACAATTATATGTAGTGTATGCCATGCGTGCATTCAGTTATATGTAGTGTATGCCATGCGTGCATACAATTATCTGTAGTGTATGCCATGCGTGCATACAATTATCTTTAGTGTTAGCCATGCATGCATACAGTTATATGTAGTGTATGCCATGCGTGCATACAATTATATGTAGTGTATGCCATGCGTGCATACAATTATCCGTAGTGTTTGCCATGCGTGCATACAATTATATGTAGTGTTTTCCATGCGTGCATACAATTATCTGTAGTGTTTGCCAGGTTTGCATACAATTATATGTAGTGTATGCCATGCGTGCATACAATTATCCGTAGTGCATGCCATGCGTGCATACAATTATCCGTCGTGTTTGCCAGGTGTGCATACAATTATATGTAGTGTATGCTATGCGTGCATACAATTATCTGTAGTGTTTGCCAGGTGTGCATACAATTATCTGTAGTGTTTGCCAGGTTTGCATACAATTATATGTAGTGTATGCCATGCGTGCATACAATTATCCGTAGTGTATGCCATGCGTGCATACAATTATCCGTCGTGTTTGCCAGGTGTGCATACAATTATATGTAGTGTATGCTATGCGTGCATACAATTATCTGTAGTGTTTGCCAGGTGTGCATACAATTATCTGTAGTGTATGCCATGCGTGCATACAATTATCTGTAGTGTTTGCCAGGTTTGCATACAATTATATGTAGTGTATGCCATGCGTGCATACAATTATATGAAGTGTATGCCATGCGTGCATACAATTATCTGTAGTGTATGCCATGCGTGCATACAATTATATGTAGTGTATGCCATGCGTGCATACAATTATCTGTAGTGTATGCCATGCATGCATACAATTATCTGTAGTGTATGCCATGCGTGCATACATTTATCTGCAGTGTATGCCATGCGTGCATACAATTATCCGTAGTGTTTGCCATGCGTGCATACAATTATCCGTAGTGTTTGCCATGCGTGCATACAATTATCTGTAGTGTTTGCTAGGTGTGCATACAATTATCTGTAGTGTATGCTATGCGTGCATACAATTACCTGTAGTGTTTGCCAGGTGTGCATACAATTATCTGTAGTGTATGCTATGCGTGCATGCAATTATCTGTAGTGTTTGCCAGGTGTGCATACAACTATCTGCAGTGTATGCTATGCGTGCATACAATTATCTGTAGTGTTTGCCAGGTGTGCATACAATTATCTGTAGTGTATGCCACTGTCATATCGAATCGATTTTGGTAAAACATAACCGATTTCGTTAGGAGGAGGAGTAACATATTCGATCGTCACACCAAGACACGGGTTCCATTCGCAACACGGATACAATGTGCGCAGTCCATTCTTTACTTCCCCTGCCATGTAACTGCGTCAAGATACCATCGTAATTACAAGTATCTAAACATTCCTTGAAGAGCTTACCCGATTTGCTCTAAACTGGCATTTCGACAGGGTCAGCACACGGCCTTCTACACAACCTTTCTTTAGGAAAAGGTCTATTTTTAACTGAAACAGTAATTTCCTGGATGAGACATATTTACCTAGAATGTTAAAACGTAATCAATAAGCTATACTGATTTAATTAAAAAACGGTTAAAACTGCTGGAAACTAAAGAAACAGCTACTCACCTGAATGTTCTTGAAAATTCTTATTCACAATAATGCTCATGAAATCAAAATTAAGTCAATAGATATACTTGATGTGTGGCCAATCAACACGCCAACAGCGGTCTGAATAGATGGTCAAATATACATTTTCAACATAATTGCCACAGTAGCCATGAATGTTATTTGTTCCGAATTGTGTGTTCAGTTTGAATTATATACCTTCATGGCTGGGACAACATATGCATACAAAATTGTCTTCATTAACGCTGTGGTTGTAATGTACCTTCACGGTAGACACCAGCTTCACGGGCTAGCATGAAGATATGTATAGGGGATAAATATGATGACATAAACAAATACCTGAGCTGTGGATCATTTAAAAAATAACTGTCATAAATTCAAACTCAAATTCCAGACACCAATGATGGGGCATGGTCAAAGTTTAAAAGTCCCAGTAGTGACAAATTCCCATAAATACCTAAACAAACTTTAAAATATTTTTTACATTTGTTTATTTATTCTGCATTACTCCTTAATGCATCTACTGCTTACCTAATGACAGAAACATAGCCTTGCGATGGTCCTAAACTTTAGAAAAAGCTGTTTCCAATCAAGTCGTTTTGTCTCGCACAGCTGCCACGTGATCGGCGGAAGTGACGTCACATCACAATTCTGCTCGTCACCCGTAATAATTCAATTTAGCTTAGTCAATTCTTCATCTAACGCCTTGACTTTATGGTGTCCTCCTTGTCGACTCTGGGCCCGGGGTATGGAGCTACCGCCGTGAGTTGGTCTGCCATTCACTCCGGCATCTGGGCCAAACTGAGGTGGGTATTCCATTCCGCAGAGGAATCCAAATCCTTGTCTAAAGGACCTTCAAGAGTCGGCGTACCGATGAGCGGCTTCAGGTGCCGTGCGTAGACACCACTGTTGATCAGTGCATGGACGAAACGCTGGGTGAAACTAAACAATGAGATGATATCCACGCTGGGGAAGTAGCATTTATGCTTGCTGATGGGGTACCAGTCCACGGGGTAGATGGTATCACAGGCGTCTGGTGTACGGCGCTGACGTAATCATAAGCGTAAGCGCTTGGATTGTCTCCGGCGCAGGGGTAGCTGGTGGCGGTGGTGGCTGGTACACAGGCGCAGACATCTGTGTCATAGACATGAAGTTCTGCATCCATGCAGTATCTATGTAAGGCGCCGTGGGTTGCACGTACATGGGAGGCGCTGCCGGGAAAACGGGAGGCCTTGCACAGACATGTAGACATCATTGATTCTCACGCTTAGTCGTTCCTCGTCGCCCCAGTAGACCATCTGGTCGAGGCGGCCGAAGGCGTAGGCATCGTTGAAGCGTACGCCAGCGCCTGCCTGGTAGTAGCGCCGTAATACGCGTGCGATGGAACCGTCAGTGGAGGTCAGTGGAGGCCAGTAAAGGCCAGTGACGCCTGAAAAGTAAAGACTGATAAAGGCCCCTTTAAACAGGGCTGCGACCTTTTAGACACCTTTGAGAGATCAAAAACTGGCCAGGACGCTCAATGGTCGCCTAACCCCAGAAAATCATGTTTCTATGTAACTGCTCCAGCAGTTGTACAGCAGTTACTGCTCGAGTTGCTCGGCGTCTGCAACCACAATGAAACACTGCAGGTACAATCCTTCCATTTATAGGCAGGCTGAGAAGGCACTACAGGTAGCTCAAAGAAGGCAGAAAAGAGGCAGAAGCATTGCCATGGTGTCTCAAGGGTTGCCGTGGTCGCCGAATGGAGGCACGGCGGTCGCCACAGTCATCGTTCAATGCACGCTGTCGGTTGCCCAAAGGATGCACAAGGGAGGCGGAAGCATCGATATAGCCCAGATTGGCGGGACAATATTTCAGCAGAACGCATCTATTACCTGGCGACAATTGGGCGACCACTGCGCCTTCATTCTGCAACAACGGCAAAGGTTGTGCCTCCTTTGAGCCACCTTTGAGCAACCAACCTCCTCCGCGACCTTTGTGCGACTGTTTTGAACATGTTCAAAACTTCACGGCGACCATGGCGTCCATGGCGATGTCTGAACCTCCTGTGTACCACCTTGGAACGACCTAGGCAACCATCCTGCCTCCTTTGAGCCTCCAACGACGACCTAGCAAATTCTATGGTCGCACACGGGAGGCATAAAGGTCGCCATCTCGTGTAAAGGCCCCATAAGGAACATACAACTAAGTCCGTTGACGTGGTGCTGTGGCGGCGTTAAAGGAATGTCAGTCGTCCCGGGAATAGAAGATAACGCCCAACCCAAGTAGAAGGTTGTGTGGGGTGATAAGAGGGAAATGATGGCGGGAAACGTACTTCGAGTCCGACATCCTTCTAGCGTGCCGACAGGACTGCTGTATTATACGTTTATGTAAAAGCTAAGTCTATAAGTTGAAAAACTTGAAGCGGAGAGAGGTGAACAAAAGTTAAATTTTAAATTTGGGAGTGCAAATTTGAGTTCAATCCCAACAACTCGGGTGTGGGTCTTTAGCCGATTTTTTGCAACGCGCAAGCATAGATTATGCATAAAAATTGAAGTTGTAGTGTGAAAGTTGACTTGCAAACACCGATAAAAGTTAAATCGAAAAAAAAACAGAGTTTAAAGTGTTAAATATCAATCGTGAGGAATCTCTAGTTATGCCACTAGTGGCTAGAGGTATTTATAAAATTTACAATATCATACCTTACAAACAATTAAAAATTGTAACGACTGCAAATTCAAAAGAGCGGGAAAACAACTAGCCACGTGAATGAAGAAGACAACGGTCCCCCCCCCCCCCCCCCCCCCGGCTGGCTACGGCACTGTAATATTACACAAATACAAGCATAATACTAAGATAAAGATATACTCCACCCGTCGCAGAACAAATTTAACGTGGTAGCAAAGTGCAAACCTCAAAATTAAAGCCAAATATTAGGGATCAAGGCACGACACAACATGTCTGTACGATGACGGGATGAGATGTGACGTCACTTCCATCGATCACGTGACAGCTGTGCGAGTTGGTCCTCAGAGTGAGTATGGTTTTACGCCGCTTTTACCAATATTCGAGCAATATCACGGCGGGGACACAAGAAATGGGCTTCACACATTGTACCCATGTCGGGAATCGAGCCCGGGTCTTCGGCGTGACAAGGCTTGATTGGAAACAACTTTTTCTTCTGTTTAGGACCATCGCAAGGCTATGTTTCTGTCATAAGGTAAGCAGTAGATGCATTAAGGAGTAATGCAGGATAAGTAAAAATTACAGTATTTTTGTATTATTTTTGGCCCATTGAATTCCTGATCCTAAATCCCGCTCAAATAAGTTACAGTTAGAAGTTTAAAGAACTACAACAAACCGGAAACTATCATTAAACCTCACTTATTAAGCTTAATGCAAAACGACCCCAAATGATATCAAGAAAGTTCTCAGAGAAAACTGCCATGACGGCCACTTCGAGTTTTTGATTGGACAACAATGAACTAAAGAGCATCGTTTGGGTCTCGCATGTATCACATGAGATGAGGATTCGAACCCAGTCTATGAGGATATCTTAATGATCTCGGTATTTACAGGTTACACTCTCCGTTACAGAATATCTCTTACCATTCCTCTTTTAATGGCATATTTTGGATTCAAACCACGTGCGTAGATGTTCTTCATATACCAGTCAAAACTCTTACAATGAAGTCTCTTGCGAAGTTGCAGCCTCTCCCCTAAGTCTCCTACATCCATTTGCTGCAATAAAAAGAGTGAGAGAGTAGGATGAGTTTAACACCGGTATGGCCACCGGTGTTTCAGATACAGCTTGGGGTAAGAGGAGTACCGCTGACGCAGGCAGGAGGTGTTTACTGTGAAACCATGAGCACGGGTATATGATGCTCACATCAGAGGTCGTAAGAGAAATCCGTATTCCACGGATAAGTCCCCACAACCAGTAGATCCTTGTACGGCTAAGGGACTCAACCCTGCTCAGGGAATTGTGACGGAGAAGACGACTTGGCCACTTGGCCACAGGGCCACCCGGGCCGAATAATTGTGTTTGAACTAAACAAGTGATGGCAAGAATTTTTATTTCATTCTGAGACCATTCATGTAATATTATCACTGATTTGAACATACCTTAAGGGCCACTGGTATGTTTCACTCCATTAAAAGGATCATAGTCAATATCTCAAAGGCCAAAGACTGTCTCATTAAGGTTGGAAAGGTTACAATAGATTACCTAGAAATGATCTTTAGGCCATCGGAATAGATATAAACGCGTGCAAATTCTACCGGATTCTTTTCTGTACAAATGTAAAACCTTGAAACGTAAATTCTCCCAACCTAACACGCAGTGACGTTTCACCATTCCTTGTAATTGCGACTTAAAAAGTAGTTCCAAGTTTGGCATTATCTTAATACATATAAACACAAGTCCCACAAAATATTTAGGGTCACGAAAATTCTTTATCATACATTTTGATATAAACTTAAAAACATATTCTTAAAGGTTCAAGGCCGCTTTTGGAAGCGAAGGAATACACGCTGGTGAAGTAACAAAATGGTGCTTTGCGAAACAAAGGGTCTCGATTGACGAGTTAAATGAGAACGTTACACTTTATGACGAAACATTTTCGAGAGAATACCAAACGGCAAGAAGCGATGTTACAACTCCCTAAATGACCATCTCTCATTGTTTTGCCTTTTCAGTGTGAAACTAACGCTAAAAGACGTCGACCGTTTCTGTATGGGCAAGACACTCTATACGATAAAGGGAGATAATTTGGTATGACAAAAGTTCCGTCAAGTGTCAAGTTCACTGCAGTGAAATATCAAGTGTTATTTTCACTGCAATGAAAATATCTCTTTTCTCAAATTCACACTGAAGTATATAATAAATATATGTTGTATCTACACGTTGCGTTTATGTATCAAGCGTTAGGTCGTCACTGGAAAGCGGCACGTTTGAATACATACAGTGTATACTCTGTTTTATCCGACATTTATTCAATTAGTACGTGTATTTTGTACACAACCTTCTATAAACACTCATTTAACGCTTACAAGGAATAATCTACAACAACAACAAGACGTATATGACGTCATATCTTGTGCCCGGTGCACGAGGGATACTAGTACACTGATATCACAGAATAATCCGATTATTATCGGAGCGTTGTTCCACGTATCTCATTCGGATACAAATGTATTTCTCATGGAGGCGTTGTGGTGGTTAAAGCGTTTGTACGCCACGCTGAAGAACCTGGTTCGATTCAATACATGGCTACAATGCGTGAAGTCGCTTTGTCAGATAATATCGTGTATGTGAAAACTGTAATGCCCACAGAGCTGCGCTACATCACTGGATTACGCTTACATTTTAGCATTAATATAAGAACTTGTCTTTGTGACAAATGAAAATGGTCTGGATGAAATAAAGCGAAATAAATCGATCAGGTGTGAAAACGAACGCTGTGCTGGTCTTTAGATGTCTTATAGAGGAAAATTGATTTTCTTCTGTTATGGCTATTTTTCCTATCGAATGTGCAATGTTATACATATGCATACAAATACATTTCATATAAATATTAATGTCGTTGAGATATTTGAAAACATTAACAGAATTTCGGTCAATACTTCGCTGTCTCTTTTCCAATTCGGTTTAATATTTGCAATTACATTCACATTATCAGACATGAAATTTAACATTTTACGTCTCTGAGGAAAAAATAACGCAGTCCTACATTGAGCACTTCAACATGCATTTATCATGTACACGGCGAAAAAGCCGATTAAAATCGAAATGTTTAACAAATTGCAGCGCCATCTGGCGTTCTTTATTGTCAACGCTGTCCTTCAGCAGTTTTGTAGTGTTCGTTTTGTGGACTGACGCTGTTCAGTATACATTGTTCTTTCTTTACAAATGACGTCTTTTGTTTGCGGTTTGTTCATTGGTCTCGTTTGGTATTTTGAATTCATTATTTGTACGTAAACAATGACCTTTATTTGTAACATTCCTTCTTTATTCGTAACATTTGCCCATTATTGCGTAAGTTTGCCCTTTATTTCTTCTTCGACTTTTTGACCGAATGGCTGCCCATAGTCTGCTTCATAATATTTGTGTCAAACTTGCTAACTTGTAACAATGTCGATTTTCCGTTCACTGTTGAAACTGGGAATACATGGTCTTCATGAACAGTCGTTTGAACTGCCTCGGTCCAACATGCCAGTCTATCTCACAGTCTATCACGCTGGGAACTGCCTCGGTCCAACATGCCGGTCTATCTCACAGTCTATCACGCTGGGAACTGCCCCGGTCCTACATGCCGGTCTATCTCACAGTCTATCACGCTGGGAACTGCCCCGGTCCTACATGCCGGTCTATCTCACAGTCTATCACGCTGGGAACTGCCCCGGTCCTACATGCCGGTCTGTCCCACAGTCTATCACGCTGGGAACTGCCTCGGTCCAACATGCCAGTCTGTCCCACAGTCTATCACGCTGGGAACTGCCTCGGTCCAACATGCCAGTCTATCTCACAGTCTATCACGCTGGGAACTGCCCCGGTCCTACATGCCGGTCTGTCCCACAGTCTATCACGCTGGGAACTGCCTCGGTCCTACATGCCATCCCGGTCTATCTCACAGTCTATCACGCTGGGAACTGCCTCGGTCCAACATGCCGGTCTATCTCACAGTCTATCACGCTGGGAACTGCCTCGGTCCTACATGCCATGCCGGTCTATCTCACAGTCTATCACGCTGGGAACTGCCTCGATCCTACATGCCATGCCGGTCTATCTCACCGTCTATCACGCTGGGAACTGCCTCGGTCCTACATGCCGGTCTGTCCCACAGTCTATCACGCTGGGAACTGCCCCGGTCCTACATGCCGGTCTATCTCACAGTCTATCACGCTGGGAACTGCCTCGATCCTACATGCCATGCCGGTCTATCTCACCGTCTATCACGCTGGGAACTGCCTCGGTCCTACATGCCATGCCGGTCTGTCCCACAGTCTATCACACTGGGAACTGCCTCGGTCCAACATGCCGGTCTATCTCACAGTCTATCACGCTGGGAACTGCCTCGGTCCTACATGCCATGCCGGTCTATCTCACAGTCTATCACGCTGGGAACTGCCTCGATCCTACATGCCATGCCGGTCTATCTCACCGTCTATCACGCTGGGAACTGCCTCGGTCCTACATGCCGGTCTGTCCCACAGTCTATCACGCTGGGAACTGCCTCGATCCTACATGCCATGCCGGTCTATCTCACCGTCTATCACGCTGGGAACTGCCTCGGTCCTACATGCCGGTCTGTCCCACAGTCTATCACGCTGGGAACTGCCTCGGTCCAACATGCCAGTCTATCTCACAGTCTATCACGCTGGGAACTGCCTCGGTCCAACATGCCGGTCTATCTCACAGTCTATCACGCTGGGAACTGCCCCGGTCCTACATGCCGGTCTATCTCACAGTCTATCACGCTGGGAACTGCCCCGGTCCTACATGCCGGTCTGTCCCACAGTCTATCACGCTGGGAACTGCCCCGGTCCTACATGCCATGCCGGTCTATCTCACAGTCTATCACGCTGGGAACTGCCTCGGTCCAACATGCCGGTCTATCTCACAGTCTATCACGCTGGGAACTGCCTCGGTCCTACATGCCATGCCGGTCTATCTCACAGTCTATCACGCTGGGAACTGCCTCGATCCTACATGCCATGCCGGTCTATCTCACCGTGTATCACGCTGGGAACTGCCTCGGTCCTACATGCCGGTCTGTCCCACAGTCTATCACGCTGGGAACTGCCTCAGTCCTACATGCCATGCCGGTCTATCTCACAGTCTATCACGCTGGGAACTGCCTCGGTCCAACATGCCGGTCTATCTCACAGTCTATCACGCTGGGAACTGCCCCGGTCCTACATGCCGGTCTATCTCACAGTCTATCACGCTGGGAACTGCCTCGGTCCTACATGCCGGTCTATCTCACAGTCTATCACGCTGGGAACTGCCTCGGTCCTACATGCCGGTCTGTCCCACAGTCTATCACGCTGGGAACTGCCTCAGTCCTACATGCCATGCCGGTCTATCTCACAGTCTATCACGCTGGGAACTGCCTCGGTCCTACATGCCATGCCGGTCTATCTCACAGTCTATCACGCTGGGAACTGCCTCGGTCCTACATGCCATGCCGGTCTATCTCACAGTCTATCACGCTGGGAACTGCCTCGGTCCTACATGCCGGTCTGTCCCACAGTCTATCACGCTGGGAACTGCCTCGGTCCTACATGCCATGCCGGTCTATCTCACAGTCTATCACGCTGGGAACTGCCTCGGTCCTACATGCCATGCCGGTCTATCTCACAGTCTATCACGCTGGGAACTGCCTCGGTCCTACATGCCGGTCTATCTCACAGTCTATCACGCTGGGAACTGCCTCGGTCCTACATGCCGGTCTGTCCCACAGTCTATCACGCTGGGAACTGCCTCAGTCCTACATGCCATGCCGGTCTATCTCACAGTCTATCACGCTGGGAACTGCCTCGGTCCTACATGCCGGTCTGTCCCACAGTCTATCACGCTGGGAACTGCCTCAGTCCTACATGCCATGCCGGTCTATCTCACAGTCTATCACGCTGGGAACTGCCCCGGTCCTACATGCCGGTCTGTCCCACAGTCTATCACGCTGGGAACTGCCTCGGTCCTACATGCCATGCCGGTCTATCTCACAGTCTATCACGCTGGGAACTGCCTCGGTCCTACATGCCATGCCGGTCTATCTCACAGTCTATCACGCTGGGAACTGCCTCGGTCCTACATGCCATGCCGGTCTATCTCACAGTCTATCATGCTGGGAACTGCCTCGGTCCTACATGCCGGTCTGTCCCACAGTCTATCACGCTGGGAACTGCCTCGGTCCTACATGCCATGCCGGTCTATCTCACAGTCTATCACGCTGGGAACTGCCTCGGTCCTACATGCCATGCCGGTCTATCTCACAGTCTATCACGCTGGGAACTGCCTCGGTCCTACATGCCGGTCTATCTCACAGTCTATCACGCTGGGAACTGCCTCGGTCCTACATGCCGGTCTGTCCCACAGTCTATCACGCTGGGAACTGCCTCAGTCCTACATGCCATGCCGGTCTATCTCACAGTCTATCACGCTGGGAACTGCCTCGGTCCTACATGCCGGTCTGTCCCACAGTCTATCACGCTGGGAACTGCCTCGGTCCTACATGCCGGTCTGTCCCACAGTCTATCACGCTGGGAACTGCCTCGGTCCTACATGCCATGCCGGTCTATCTCACAGTCTATCACGCTGGGAACTGCCTCGGTCCTACATGCCATGCCGGTCTATCTCACAGTCTATCACGCTGGGAACTGCCTCGGTCCTACATGCCGGTCTGTCCCACAGTCTATCACGCTGGGAACTGCCTCGGTCCTACATGCCATGCCGGTCTATCTCACAGTCTATCACGCTGGGAACTGCCTCGGTCCTACATGCCATGCCGGTCTATCTCACAGTCTATCACGCTGGGAACTGCCTCGGTCCTACATGCCGGTCTATCTCACAGTCTATCACGCTGGGAACTGCCTCGGTCCTACATGCCGGTCTGTCCCACAGTCTATCACGCTGGGAACTGCCTCAGTCCTACATGCCATGCCGGTCTATCTCACAGTCTATCACGCTGGGAACTGCCTCGGTCCTACATGCCATGCCGGTCTATCTCACAGTCTATCACGCTGGGAACTGCCTCGGTCCTACATGCCATGCCGGTCTATCTCACAGTCTATCACGCTGGGAACTGCCTCGGTCCTACATGCCATGCCGGTCTATCTCACAGTCTATCACGCTGGGAACTGCCTCGGTCCTACATGCCGGTCTGTCCCACAGTCTATCACGCTGGGAACTGCCCCGGTCCTACATGCCGGTCTATCTCACAGTCTATCACGCTGGGAACTGCCTCGGTCCTACATGCCATGCCGGTCTGTCCCACAGTCTATCACGCTGGGAACTGCCTCGGTCCTACATGCCGGTCTGTCCCACAGTCTATCACGCTGGGAACTGCCTCGGTCCTACATGCCATGACGGTCTATCTCACAGTCTATCACGCTGGGAACTGCCTCGGTCCTACATGCCGGTCTGTCCCACAGTCTATCACGCTGGGAACTGCCCCGGTCCTACATGCCATGCCGGTCTATCTCACAGTCTATCACACTGGGAACTGCCTCGGTCCTACATGCCATGCCGGTCTGTCCCACAGTCTATCACGCTGGGAACTGCCTCGGTCCTACATGCCGGTCTGTCCCACAGTCTATCACGCTGGGAACTGCCTCGGTCCTACATGCCGGTCTATCTCACAGTCTATCACACTGGGAACTGCCTCGGTCCTACATGCCATGCCGGTCTGTCCCACAGTCTATCACACTGGGAACTGCCTCGGTCCTACATGCCGGTCTGTCCCACAGTCTATCACACTGGGAACTGCCTCGGTCCTACATGCCATGCCGGTCTGTCCCACAGTCTATCACACTGGGAACTGCCTCGGTCCTACATGCCATGCCGGTCTGTCCCACAGTCTATCACGCTGGAAACTGCCTCGGTCCTACATGCCATGCCGGTCTATCTCACAGTCTATCACGCTGGGAACTGCCTCGGTCCTACATGCCGTGCCGGTCTGTCCCACAGTCAATCAATAACGATGGGAGTTCCAGGGTTCCTAACTTGCACCCACCGCTCTAGTAAACTTGGCTGTTGTGAAGTGTCTTATTTCGTTAAACAGCAAACTACTGACAAACGACTGACTGATAGAAACGACATTTACAATAACCGAGAAACGATAAGTTTCTTCACAAGAACTTCACATATTAGTGTACATGCATTCCCTGATCACAATACACCACATGCACGAGACTTGCCTGATCACAATGCACCGCATGCACGAGACTTGCCTGATCACAATACACCACATGCACGAGACTTGCCTGATCACAATACACCACATGCACGAGATTTGCCTGACCACAATACACCACATGCACGAGATTTGCCTGATCACAATACACCACATGCACGAGACTTGCCTGATCACAATACACCACATGCACGAGACTTGCCTGATCACAATACACCACATGCACGAGACTTGCCTGACCACAATACACCAAATGCACGAGACTTGCCTGATCACAATACACCACATGCACGAGACTTGCCTTATCACAATACACCACATGCACGAGACTTGCCTGACCACAATACACCAAATGCACGAGACTTGCCTTATCACAATACACCACATGCACGAGACTTGCCTGATCACAATACACCGCATGCACGAGACTTGCCTGACCACAATACACCACATGCACGAGACTTGCCTGACCACAATACACCACATGCACGAGACTTGCCTGACCACAATACAGCACATGCACGAGACTTGCCTGATCACAATACACCACATGCACGAGACTTGCCTGATCACAATACACCACATGAATTGGGCGAATTTCTGACTGAGTTCTGTAGGCGCCAAATGAATATAATCGCTCAAGATATTCATATCATTATATAACAAATACTTGTGGCCCTATGTTAAAATTCTTGTGATCTACGTACTTGACTGTTGGACATTGCTTCAGAGCAGAAATGCAATTTGCTGGTTTTCCGTAACAAGGCCGTAGTTAACTTTTTTGGACAGGGGGACAAATATTTGTACTCGTATCACGGTTTTCTATCCCCCCCCTCCCCCCCCCCCAACCCTCCCCCGGCTGCTGGTTACGGCACTGCGTAACCTCGTTACATTTTGAAAAAACATTGTAATATAACAAAAATGAATCGGTCCAAAAACAAAATCTTACCGTTTTCAGTCTCTCCAGATAATACTGAGCATAGTCATCAAGCCACACTTTGGCCAATCTGATCCTGTTTCTCACACGACTCTTACTGGTGTCTTTGTAGGGCATGCTCAGCCTAAACAAATGGGCTACAGCAGAGCATGGCACCTGTTCCAGACGCCCCCCACACCGCCAGATCTGAATGGGAATAAAGAAGCAAGGTATTACTTGTTTCATACGTCATATTATTACGAACTGCCTCGACAACACCCAGGAGTTGATGAGGTTGCATGAATAACACATCACGCGTGTTCCATAACATGGGAACTCTCCCGGGGGCAAGTCGAGGGGGCCTGTCGGGCCTGTGGTTAAAGGCACAACAGTTCACCTACCAAGGAGCCATTTGTTGGCGGTACGAATCCCAGATCCTTGGTCTGTCAGCACCATACAGGTGCTCATGGACTTCACACCAGATGCACGCCTTGACAGAACTGAAATACCGTTGAATGTGTCTTGAAACCCATCTAACTCTGTCGCTCCGCTGCCTCAAACTTACCCGAAATGAAAGATCTAGGTTTTCTCCGCCCCACAAGTCCATTCCCTTGTCATAGGAGCCAATGTCGTAAAAGTAGTTCCGGTCTATAGAAAATAGCCCCCCGATCATTGTCGGGGAACTGTAGACAAATCAATAGTTTCGTTATTGACAAACATTATATGAAACTGATAAATAAACAATCTCATCAAATTCAGATCTTTTCCTCCGATATTGTCTAATTAGCCAATTAGCGTCTAGATGTCTAAATTCTTGGTACGAGTGAGCAAAGCATTCAGGAAAGAATATCGAATGTCATCGGGGAGTTCCGAATGCAAAAAAGCGGCGCTATTATATTGTTGTTGATATGTTTATACATCCTGCTGTTTCTGACCGCAACGACATCTACACCCCAAAGGTTGTACTGTCGAGGATATATCTGTGCTCTGTTTTCTTCGAATTTTCCGAATCAAAGTGAAGCCGAAGTGTTTTTGAAAGCTGATTAATGGAACCTACGCATCTTAAATTCCCCCCTTCGCGACTTCCTATGGGGGTGTTCAGATTTTAACCCAGAGAGGTTTTGTATAAGAGTAAAAGATCTGATTTCAATGAGTTTTGTTCGAACACGATCACATTACTTTACTATGGATAAAGCAATATCTGGAACTGAGGTTCAATGTGATAGACCCTTTGATAAAGAACTAGATACCCTCATATGAAATACGATACACAAAGAGATTACACTCAACTCACTTCATTAAATAATGATGATATTGTGCATTGACAATTTATTTGATTCGTTACAAGTGATACGTTGCCTATGTATTTACAGGGTGATGTAAGTTATAGTGAGTGACTTGGGTTTAATTCTGCGTTGAACAGCATTCCTATTATACAACAGCGTGATTCAGTAAACGATATGTGTCTTTCTGAAGATATTATTTAAGTGTTTCATTAGCATGATGAATTTAGTTGATCGATTGTGCGACCAAGTAAATGCATTTTACGGGTCTCCGTTTACAGGAAATGCTTTATGAAATATGCAACGTAAAAGTACATTCTTACGGTATAGGATCGATGAGAGACTTTCTGTTGTTCAGGGCATCTATGGGCGGAATGTCCCACGTGAAGGTCAGGTCCCAGTTAAAGCCACCTACTCGAATGTTGCTAAGATTTTGGTGAATAACGAGAAAACTCGCCCAGTGGATTATGTCAATCGTGGGAACGACAACGTTGTGGGTGGAATCTTTGATTCTAGCCATCAAGGGGGGTAACCATCCTGTATAAGTCATGTTGACGGGGTTAGATGGCAATATACAAATAGAAGGAAGGGTACTGTATTGACAGATGATGAGTGATGAAGGGTGGGGATGGCCGTAGAATGGACAGAGGGAAGAGAGCGGAAGTTGGAGGGAGAATTGATGGTCACAGGAAGGAAGGCGGGGATGTGGTGGCAAGGGTTATACATGTTAGGATATTGAACGGAGGGGTGGTACGTGGCGGGAATATGCAGTGCTGTTTAATTGATGCCGAGAGAAGGATCGAGAGAAGAGGGGTGATGTATAGGATGATAGCTATTAGCTAGAGGAGGTGTGAGGACTTGGTGGTGTGGAGAAAAGGCGGTTGTACAAAGGTATGGGCACTTACTCTCACAATATTCTTAAAGTATTGAGGGAGAAACAGATATTGTTTAAAACCTTTAGCTTTGTGTCAATGATCAACATATTTTAATAACAGAAAGAAAATGGTTTTGCCTTGTCCTTGAAGGTAGTTTAAATTAGTAAGTGTGGTACTAACGAACTCATTCTATTACAGCAACAAACTATATACTTGATCACGTTACCTTTTGTACATTCTATATGAGAATCTAAGAAGGTGAGCGTTTTTCCTTTAGCAATGGCCACTCCGGCGAGACGAGACCTGATCAAACCCTCTCGCTTTATGTTTCTAATGATTTTCACTTTAGGAAAGCGTCTCATATACACATCGAGAGGTTTCTTCAAGTCATCTGCAAAATAAGGCAAAAGGATAAAATGAAGCGTAACACCGCTTTAGACAGTATTTCTCTTGAACAGTATTTCCCTTGAACAGCGCTATATTGCTGAAATAATGCTGATGCAATGTTAAATTCTAATTCACTCTCCTGAACAGTATTTCTCTTCAACAGACAACACCTGATGACCAGGTAAACCCCAATATACAGCCACTGTCTGGTGACGAGGGAAACCCCAAGAAACACCAGCTAACAGCCACTGTCGGGTGACGAGGCAAACCCCAAAAAACACCAACTAACAGCCACTGACTGGTAATGAGGTAAACCCCAACTAATCACCAACTAACAGCCACTGTCTGGTGACGAGGTAAACCCCAAGAAACAGCAACTAACAGCCACTGTCTGGTGACGAGGTAAACCCCAAGAAACACCAACTAACAGCCACTGCCTGGTGACGAGGTAAACCCCAACAAACACCAACTAACAGCCACTGCCTGGTGACGAGGTAAACCCCAAGAAACACCAACTAACAGTCACTGCCTGGTGACGAGGTAAACCCCAACAAACACCAACTAACAGCCACTGCCTGGTGACGAGGCAAACCCCAAGTAACAACCACTGTCTGGTGACGAGGTAAACCCCAAGAAACACCAACTAACAGCCACTGTCAGGTGACAAGGTAAACCCCAAGAAACACCAACTAACAGCCAGTGCCTGGTGATGAGGCAAACCCCACAAACACCAACTAACAGCCACGGTCTGGTGACGAGGTAAACCCCAATGAACAGCCACTGTCTGGTGACGAGGCAAACCCCAACGAACACTAACTGACAGCCACTGTCTGGTGACGAGGTAAACCCAAACAAACAGCCACTTTCTGGTGACGAGGCAAACCCCAACAAGCACCAACTAACAGCCACTGTCTGGTGACGAATTAAACCCCAGGGTACACCAACTAACAACCACTGCCTGGTGACGTGGCAAACCCCAACTAACAGCCACTGTCTGGTGACGAAGTAAACCCCAACTAACAGCCACTGCCTGGTGACGAGGCAAACCCCAACGAACACCAACTAACAGCCACTGTCTGGTGACGAGGTAAACCTCAACTAACAGCCACTGCCTGGTGACGAGGTAAACCCCAACAAACACCAACTAACAGCCACTGCCTGGTGACGAGGCAAACCCCAAGTAACAACCACTGTCTGGTGATGAGGTAAACCCAAACAAACAGCCACTTTCTGGTGACGAGGCAAACCCAAAAGAACACCAACTAACAGCCACTGTCTGGTGACGAGGTTAACCCCAGGGAACACAAAATAACAACCACTGCCTGGTGACGAGGCAAACCCCAACGAACACCAACTAACCGCCACTGTCTCGTGATGAGGAGAACCCCAACGAACACCAACTAACAGCCACTGTCTCGTGATGAGGTAAACCCCAACTAACGGCCACTGTCTGGTGACGAGGCAAACCCCAACGAACACCAACTAACAGCCACTGTCTAGTGATGAGGTAAACCTCAACTAACAGCCACTGCCTGGTGACGAGGCAAACCCCAACGAACACCAACTAACAACCACTGCCTGGTGACGAGGCAAACCCCAACAAACCCCAACTAACAGCCACAGCCTTGTGATGAGGTAAACCCCAACGAACACCAACTAACAGCCACTGCCTGGTGACGAGGTAAACACCAACTACCAGCCACTGCCTGGTGACGAGGTAAACCCCAACGAACACCAACTAACGGCCACTGCCTGGTGACGAGGCAAACCCCAACAAACACCAACTAACAGCCACTGCCTGGTGACGAGGCAAACTCCAACAAACACCAACTAACAGCCAGTGCCTGGTGACGAGGTAAACCCAAGCAACACCAACTAACATCCACAGCCTGGTGACGAGGCAAACCCCAACGAAGACCAACTAACAGCCACTGTCTGGTGACGAGGTAAACCCCAACTAATCACCAACTAACAGCCACTGTCTGGTGACGAGGTAAACCCCAAGAAACAGCAACTAACAGCCACTGTCTGGTGACGAGGTAAACCCCAAGAAACACCCAACTAACAGCCACTGCCTGGTGACGAGGTAAACCCCAACAAACACCAACTAACAGCCACTGTCTGGTGACGAGGTAAACCCGAACAAACACCAACTAACAGCCACTGTCTGGTGACGAGGTAAACCCAACCAAACACCAACTAACAGCCAGTGCCTGGTGACGAGGTAAACCCCAACGAACACCAACTAACGGCCACTGTCTGGTGACGAGGTAAACACCAACTAACAGCCACTGCCTGGTGACGAGGCAAACCCCAACGAACACCAACTAACAGCCACTGTCTGGTGACGAGGCAAACCCCAACGAACACCAACTAACAGCCACTGTCTGGTGACGAGGTAAACCCCAACAAACAACCACTGTCTGGTGACGAGGCAAACCCCAACTAACCGCCACTGTCTGGTGATGAGGTAAACCCCAACGAACACCAACTAACAGCCACTGTCTGGTGATGAGGTTAACCCCAACGAACACCAACTAACGGCAAATGTCTGGTGACGAGGCAAACCCAAACGAACACCAACTAACAGCCACTGTCTGGTGACGAGGTTAACCCCAACGAACACCAACTAACAGCCACTGCCTGGTGACGAGGTAAACACCAACTACCAGCCACTGCCTGGTGACGAGGTAAACCCCAACGAACACCAACTAACGGCCACTGCCTGGTGACGAGGCAAACCCCAACAGACACCAACTAACAGCCACTGTCTGGTGACGAGGTAAACCCGAACAAACACCAACTAACAGCCAGTGCCTGGTGACGAGGTAAACCCAAACGAACACCAACTAAAGGCCACTGTCTGGTGACGAGGTAAACACCAACTAACAGCCACTGCCTGGTGACGAGGCAAACCCCAACGAACACCAACTAACAACCACTGTCTGGTGACGAGGTAAACCCCAACGAACACCAACTAACAGCCACTGTCTGGTGACGAGGTAAACCCCAACTAACAACTACTGTCTGGTGACGAGGCAAACCCCAACCAACCGCCACTGTCTCGTGATGAGGTTAACCCCAACGAACACCAACTAACAGCAAATGTCTGGTGACTAGGCTAACCGCAATGAACACCAACTAACAGCCACTGTCTGGTGACGAGGTTAACCCCAACGAACACCAACTAACAGCCACTGCCTGGTGACGAGGTAAACACCAACTACCAGCCACTGCCTGGTGACGAGGTAAACCCCAACGAACACCAACTAACGGCCACTGCCTGGTGACGAGGCAAACCCCAACAGACACCAACTAACAGCCACTGTCTGGTGACGAGGGAAACCCCAAGAAACACCAACTAACAGCCAGTGCCTGGTGACGAGGTAAACCCCAACGAACACCAACTAACGGCCACTGTCTGGTGACGAGGTAAACACCAACTAACAGCCACTGCCTGGTGACGAGGCAAACCCCAACGAACACCAACTAACAACAACTGTCTGGTGACGAGGTAAACCCCAACGAACACCAACTAACAGCCACTGTCTGGTGACGAGGTAAACCCCAACTAACAACTACTGTCTGGTGACGAGGCAAACCCCAACCAACCGCCACTGTCTGGTGATGAGGTAAACCCCAACGAACACCAACTAACAGCCACTGTCTGGTGATGAGGTAAACCCCAACGAACACCAACTAACAGCCACTGTCTGGTGATGAGGTAAACACCAACGAACACCAACTAACAGCCACTGTCTGGTGACGAGGCAAACCCCAACGAACACCAACTAACAGCCACTGTCTGGTGACGAGGTAAACCCCAACTAACAACCACTGTCTGGTGACGAGGCAAACCCCAACTAACCGCCACTGTCTGGTGATGAGGTAAACCCCAACGAACACCAACTGACAGGCACTCTCTGGTGAACAGGTCAACCCCAACTAACAGCCACTGTCTGGTGACGAGGTAAACCCCAACGAACACCAACTAACAGCCACTGCCTGGTGACGAGGTAAAAACCAACTACCAGCCACTGCCTGGTGACGAGGTAAACCCCAACAAACACCAACTAACAGCCACTGCCTGGTGACGAGGTAAACCCCAACGAACACCAACTAACGGCCACTGTCTGGTGACGAGGTAAACACCAACTAACAGCCACTGCCTGGTGACGAGGCAAACCCCAACGAACACCAACTAACAACCACTGTCTGGTGACGAGGTAAACCCCAACGAACACCAACTAACAGCCACTGCCTGGTGACGAGGTAAACCCCAACGAACACCAACTACCAGCCACTGCCTGGTGACGAGGCAAACCCCAACAGACACCAACTAACAGCCACTGTCTGGTGACGAGGTAAACCCGAACAAACACCAACTAACAGCCACTGCCTGGTGACGAGGTAAACCCGAACAAACACCAACTAACAACCACTGTCTGGTGACGAGGTAAACCCCAACGAACACCAACTAACTGCCACTGTCTGGTGACGAGGTAAACCCCAACTAACAACTACTGTCTGGTGACGAGGCAAACCCCAACTAACCGCCACTGTCTGGTGACGAGGTCAACCCCAGCGAACACCAACTAACAACCACTGCCAGGTGATGAGGTAAACCCCAACGAACACCAACTAACGGCCACTGCCTGGTGATGAGGTAACCCCCAACGAACACCAAGTAACAGCCACTGCCTGGTGACGAGGTAGACCCCAACTAACAACTACTGTCTGGTGACGAGGCAAACCCCAACTGACCGCCACTGTCTGGTGATGAGGTAAACCCCAACGAACACCAACTAACAGCCACTGTCTGGTGATGAGGTAAACCCCAACGAACACCAACTAACAGCCACTGTCTGGTGACGAGGCAAACCCCAACGAACACCAAGTAACAGCCACTGCCTGGTGACGAGGTAAACCCCAACTCACAACCACTGTCTGGTGACGAGGCAAACCCCAACTAACCGCCACTGTCTGGTGATGAGGTAAACCCCAACGAACACCAACTGACAGGCACTCTCTGGTGAACAGGTCAACCCCAACTAACAGCCACTGTCTGGTGACGAGGTAAACCCCAACGAACACCAACTAACAGCCACTGCCTGGTGACGAGGTAAAAACCAACTACCAGCCACTGCCTGGTGACGAGGTAAACCCCAACGAACACCAACTAACAGCCACTGCCTGGTGACGAGGCAAACCCCAACAGACACCAACTAACAGCCACTGTCTGGTGACGAGGTAAACCCCAAGAAACACCAACTAACAGCCAGTGCCTGGTGACGAGGTAAACCCCAACGAACACCAACTAACGGCCACTGTCTGGTGACGAGGTAAACACCAACTAACAGCCACTGCCTGGTGACGAGGCAAACCCCAACGAACACCAACTAACAACCACTGTCTGGTGACGAGGTAAACCCCAACGAACACCAACTAACTGCCACTGTCTGGTGACGAGGTAAACCCCAACTAACAACTACTGTCTGGTGACGAGGCAAACCCCAACTAACCGCCACTGTCTGGTGATGAGGTCAACCCCAGCGAACACCAACTAACAACCACTGCCAGGTGATGAGGTAAACCCCAACGAACACCAACTAACGGCCACTGCCTGGTGATGAGGTAAACCCCAACGAACACCAAGTAACAGCCACTGCCTGGTGACGAGGGAAACCCCAACGAAGACCAACTAACAGCCACAGCCTGGTGATGAGGTCAACCCCAACGAACACCATCGGGGGCTGTTAGCCGGTGTTTCTTGGGGTTTGCCTCGTCACCAGGCAGTGGCTGTTAGCTGGTGTTTGTTTGGGTTTACATCGTCACCAGGCAACAACGCCAAACTATTACGAAAACTTAATTAATAGGATAATCAAAATAACTACAAATGAAACACCGCCGTGATCAAGTATTTGCTGAGTTTCCACTGATGCTGACAAGTTGGATCTCAAAAATAAATAAGAAACATATCTCGTAAACCAAAAACGTACCCAAATTAGAATAATCGTCGACTAGAATTATTTCCCTCAGAAGTCCGGGTGGGGACGTATTATTGACCGAGTGTACACTGCGCAGAAGGGCTGACCACGCCTCGTTGTAGAAGCAAATGATGACACTAGTATCAGGTAGCTTGTCCCCATAGTCCTTGTCCTGGCACCTGACAGTGGTCCAAGGTACAACAATAGTGCACATTTAGCATACAACCAATGATTATTGAGGGACATGCTAATTTTAATTAGCCATTTTCATTTGTACTACATGTGAAATTGAGACAGTGTCTCTGTTTTATTCTAGACTAAGTAATCATTAACGTTTCTTACATAAGATTTGAATTGGTAGTCAAACAAAATGCGTTTTCAATGACTTGAATGAAATGTACTGGTACTGCCTCTTGTCCCGAGTCTGGCTTCATCATCATAAGGCTCGACTGACACTTTACCAGACTGATTCATTGTTTCCTTCAAAACCTATAACCTGCCATGCAGGACCAGTTGACAGTCAACTATTATAAACAGCATAGGTATCTTTCAACAAATGTTGGGACGACTTGCATTGAATCCTGGCTCGGGTAGAGAACAACTGATCGCGAAGTTTCTTGGAAAATCTTTTAATTAATGGGTGTGTGAGTTAATATTTAAAGTTGTATTGACAAAATGTCAGTATTATAACCACTGTAGAGTTCTACAAGGACTGAAATGAGTATCATATTGTTATGGATGTTATCGGACATGTTTATATGAGTGTGAACTACTGGTAAACCAGTTGTGACCTGACAGTCCACCATAAGAAAAGGGGTAGTGTGATGAATATGTGCGTGTCCTGCCTCGGCTAATAACGAGTTCTAATTGCGACACATATCTGTACTAGCTGTACTTCGTGTTCAAACATAAAACAGTGCTTCCTAAAAGTCTGAAGATCTTATCTCACCTGAGTCGTATTTCTGCATTTGGTGCATGATACTTTAAGTTGAGTACTGTTGGCAAGAATCTCATTCTTAGGAAAATTTCTAATAATTGTCCCTTCAATTACTAGCGGACTTCCTCATGATGCAGATATAGTAGGCCCCAAAGGGCCCTCGGGAAACCTCGTCCTTTTTTCCAAATGAATAAAATATTAGTTTAAGCTTCGTGCCATTATGCAGGTTCTGTTATAAGTGGGAGCAGACAGGCAACTCCAGTAATATCACGGCGTGTCAGATACATGTGCTCAACGTGATGTGGGGCGGAGGCGTGTACCACTTAGGTAAAACCAACGAGCATAGGTGTAGTGCTGACAGACCAGAGTTCATTATCGGAGCTGTTCTTACCAAACTCCATGTTTGTTCTATGACCGGAGTTCAGGCAGTCACACAATAACAGGATTAGGTGATGTATTATTTGCGTGTTACCTACTCTGTTAGTCTGTAATCAGGGAGTTCCCTGTCTACCGAGATCAGGTCGCTGACATATTCGTTAAATCTGTGAGTATGCTGGCCATGGCGTGAGCGCTCGAGTTGAGCCTTAGACAGCCTCCCTTGACTAACTGCGACTCCCCCTTGACCTGTGAAATGGGACGACATCAGCTCATGAGGCACGTTGGTCAGGATATAGGTTTTAACAGGGCGTTTATACATGTTTTATATATTCCCTGAGCTAAGTAAATTTTATATATATATATATATATATATATATATATATATATATATATATATATATATATATATATGTATATATATATATATGTGTGTGTGTGTGTGTGTATATATATATATATATATATATATATATATATATATATATATATATATAATAAAATAATAAAGTCCACGTATATATATTCACAGTGAAGTCAATAAAAAATCAGATATCTCCATCTCGGCTATTATTACCATGGTCAACATCCTAGTCCTGTATTGGTCAGCTGCCTATTAATCAAAGTCAGACAAAGGGCGGTTGGGCACCTATATGTGACATGGTGGATGAGGGGCGGGATACTGTAGGCTGACCATACATGTGTGCACATGCGGCACGTGACAGTCTGGCCGTGGTTTGCAAGTTATTTTAGATCAAGCATATCTACTAATTGTTAAAGCTATATTCTTGAGGCCGGGTAATTGTGTGTAAAACTAATTTTGGTTCAATAACGACTGGTGTAAGACATGTATTTGCAACATCATGCCCCCCACCATGTTTCAAATGTAAACTTGTAAAAAAGCGAAGTTATTGATTTTGAAAGATAACATCAGATGCATGAGCAGTTGTGTATCATGCAAATGATTTTTTAAATTCTTTAAAATCAAACTATATTTTATAAAATAAAACCATGTAGAAGTATTCTTTGAGTGCTGACTAAGCGCCAGTACAGTTCATTCTTTGGAGATAATATCGCTAACTTAAGATATTTTCCATTGAAACTCAAACATGATAAAACCAACTAAGAGGTATACTTTCTTTAGCTCTTCACTTTATGTTATCAAGGAATAATCATCGTGTGATTGAAATGTTAGTTGGTGTCGCTGTGACATTTGAGTAATCATTATGACTTTTGTGTAACTTCATGTTCTGGTAACATAAATCAAACGAATATCTACCACCAACCTTGGCCTTCATTTCCATGAAACACGTGTCGGAGAACCACATTGACATCCTCCGGGTGGGGAATAGGGTCATCCCTAGCATTTCGAGCATCAATTCCGTCCGCATTTGTCACAGTTCCCGTGGCAGAGTTGGCTGTCCTCGGGACCTGTTTCAGCCTTTCATCACCAGCGGGACTGTCATCACCAGTGACCTCTCTAGTGGGACTGTAGGCTCCGGTTACATCTTTAATGGAACTGTCAGTACCGTTTTTGTCATCGACACTTCTGTTACCGCCCTCCCTGCCAATAAGTTCACCGTTACCTCGTACGTCGGCATTCGTAACAAAGGCACTATCATTACCATACAGAATGTTAGATATCCAGTTTCCCGTCACAACTGTTTTCATCAAGGGAACATGGCCAACACTAAGATAGTAAATAGACAGCAGTCCGGCTGTGAGAAACAATAATATAACAAGGAATATCCGTAGAAACTTCATGGCCTCTCTCAAACTGAGCGCCTCGTCATAATGAATACTATTGAAAAACAATAAACCTTTCTTCACCAGCTGCCTATCTTAAGTGCAAACTGTACAATGGAACTATTGACAACATGGAGTCACACCACACTTCAGTAGCGATATGGATGTCGTTGAACGTCACATCTGCTTTGTACAAGTGTAAGTGCAGACTGCAGGCATGCACTGTAGGTTTGATGGAAACAAAATTACTTCAAATCAGGTCAACTTGTATTCAAACAATTCTGAAATACAGGTTCGTTTAAACTTGACCTAAGGCGTAATGACATTTGTAGAAACGATACATTGAAAGACACATGTCTCATTAAGCCGGAGAGAGTTGAGTTTAATACTGCTTTCATCAGTACCTAAGTTACGCTTGATGTTGGGGCAGTGGGGTAACGTAGACTCGTGGTTAAAGCATTTGCTGGTCACACTGAAGACCACACAAGTTGACGACGGTTGAGCTAAACATCTTATCTATCTCTTGGTTATAGACTATCATCAGCTATATATACTCAACAACAAAAGTTCCTGTGACACCAATATTTAGTGTATTTGTTAAACAAGTATTTTGTAGTACATGTATGGAATCAAGTCACAAAAACGCAACTGCTACATAAAAGCATATATCCTATGCAAAAGTTGACTTTTATGCAAACCCCATGCATTTCACTACCCAAGAATTGGTATAAAAACATGTGCGTTAACGGGATTCCATATGCATTGTTTAGCATCGTGCTGACAACAACCACTCAGAAAAACAACAAAATTACGCAATTATTCAACGTTACGAAATGCCACGCCTGTCCGAAAATGAGCATCTGCGAGCCATTTGTATGCTTGAAGCAGGATCGAGTCAATGTGATGTTGCATGACAATTTAACATCCACAGAAACACCATTTGGTGTTTATGGCAACGTTGGAAACAGACGAACAACACACCTACGAAATCGACTCCAGCCAACAACACTGACTGCAAGAAGCATCCCTGGCCTTCGACGAATATCTTCACAAACCGCCTCAGATGTGAAGGGATTGTCACCAGAAGACCCGCCAGACGTCCCATTTTGACAGGAAACCTGCGTCAAGCAGTGGTGCAGACAGCTTCTACGCAGGACGGCCATGCAGTGGGGACAAGTTTTATTCACTAACGAGTCTTGTTTTCACCTCAGCCACAGCTGAAGTGTACCGACGTCGAGGTGAACGTTACGTTAATCATTGTGTCATGGAAGAATATCGCTTCGGGGGCGGCAGTGTTATGGTATTGGGTGGGATTACAGCAAGACAGAGGACACGTTTGATAGCGGTAGAGGGAAATCTCAATGGACAGCGCTACCGCGACGAGATCATCAGCCCTGTTCTTCTACCGTTTTTGCGTCGTCATGGCCCAGGCATTACCTTTCAACATGATAACGCCCGGCCTTATATTGCTCTACTTGTTCAGGATTCTCTTCAACAAAACAACGTGAATGTCATCCCCTGCAACCAGAGGTGAACACACGCGCTATTGATTTGTAAATTGACATTTTGGCATGTTCATGTTTTTTTTATGAAATCACGCATTTTCTGAAGTCAGTATGGCAAATTAAACCATTTGAACACTTACAGGAGTCTTTTATCTGTTGCAAACCGAAATTGTTTCAGATTTGGTATAAAACATTACATACTGCATTAAATCTAATTCAATGTCACAGGAACTTTTGTTGTTCAGTATATAAGTCCCTAAGCAGAGTTGGGTCCCATTGGGTCCCTGGTATCCCATGCTTCTGGTGAGACCTTAACGAGGATTACTGGGTGGTCAGGCTCACTGTCTTACCTTATGTCATCCATCCCATGGATCATTGCTCATGCATTGTCACTGGCTTGTCTGGTTGGTCCAGACAAGATTATTTACAGGCTGCCCTGAAATAACTAGATAATTGCAGACAGTGGGTATTAAGCAACACTGCTCTCGCACTCATTACATGCATCAACAGTTCTCAGAGTTCTGTGTGGCCCCGGCATCGAAGGCGCCACAATTTCCTGTGCATGCCTTGGGCAGCCAGAAACCTATGATTGTGGGTTTCATTTGGCATCGAAGGCGCCACAATTTCCTGTGCATGCCTTGGGCAGCCAGAAACCTATGATTGTGGGTTTCATTTTGCTTCTAGTTTGTCCCATCATCACTTTGGGCTGTTCTCCCACACGAAGCAGACACACTGTGATATAACTGGAATACTATTCGAAGCAGTGATAAACGCAACTAGTAGTATAGGTAATGGGGGTTCTGGACCACTTCCACTGGAGCCAGATTTATATACCTATACCACCACTACAGAGGGAATTTTGTATGCATAAACGATGATGTGATTCAACGATAGTCATAAGATTAAACTAAATTGTAATGAAAATATTCTCTATTATTTTTATTGATACGTATACCATTATTTTTAACAAAGTGATATTCAACATTTTTACTAAGTTCTTCGTTGATTTTACTAGGCGACCAGACTATATACTCTTCTTGCTAAGTGGAAAGAAACAATTGATGACCGTATTTGGTTGGTTTGACATCACAAATATAATATAAAACCTTGTGGTAATTCTCTCCATTTGATAATTTTGTCCCTGAACATAAATGTTTCGACAGCTTTTTCGAGTGCTTCCTTTGTTGGTTTGTAATTCTCCATTTTAATATACTTATGTAAGCATTCTTCTTAATGTGATCTAATGATAGTAAGCAATCTATTTTTAATCTCCAACCAGTTCTTTGGTTTTGGCACGGAATAATTGACGCGCTTATCTCCCCTGTTCTATGAAAAAAAAATTCTCATCTTCGCTTATACCACTGGTCTTACGAGAATTGGATCGAATCTCCTGCTTCATTGCGTTGTATTTGGTGAGTTCTGACAAAACTAAATGAAACTCCTCCTCGGATATCTTACAATCAGCCATTGCTGTTGAAATATGATCCTCAATGCTGTTCAACTTTGCTTCGGCGAGAATCTGAATATTATCGTGTTTTAATGCTTTCCTTTGCAACCTACAAGAAATTAATTTTATTGCTATTCCTGCCAGTCCTGAGGCTCCGGCCAAGTACGAAAGGCGCAGCGATTAAAGTTGATAATAAACCAACACCGGCTACACCGAGTCCCATGCCAGCTGTTACAAGCACGGTGTCAACTCCGTCGAGAGCATTCATGGCTCTGCGATACTTTTTATACAATCCAAGTCTCAACTCCCTCTCCTTCTCTATTCGATGTTTTATGTCGCTCATTTGATGTAATCGAAATCCATCAACATGCAGTATCCATCTTTTCAGATATAAACTCATAGTTTATATTACGGTCATATAATAGTCTTTAATTGGTCTTGCTTAAAAATTTTTGAGAGTATACATCAACCTTATCAAATGTATATTATACAACATGAATATCTTAGTAAGTGAAATTCTGTCACTTTTAATAATTTGGACCCCTTCAAGGGTTGCAACGGGTGATGCTCCAATATGAATAATACTGCAACGTCGACGCTCGTGTTTCTTGAGCCATTTAATCGATAGACCTGGTAATATTTCGAAGGCATTTTCCGGTGCATCTCCGAACAAGACTTCAATAATAAGCGTAGAAATATTAGGTATTGCACTCAAGTTCTGTTTAATATCATTGAATTCAGTAACCAAATTTTAACTAACATTTTTTACTGCCGGACGACTATATAACATATGACCTGGGTTTTCTGGCAGGGGGGTGACTAACACTCTTTTTCGTTTTGATGGGATATAAGCCGCGAGTACGATCCCACTATTTATTATCTTAGTTAAATTATGTGCCTTACCAGTCATCACATACGGTGGGGTAATGACGATATTCAGTAGCCACTCTATGTTTGCTTCAACCATAGTCCATTTATTATCCCCGTTGAGAGTAAGATTGTAAAAGTGTTTTTAGTCTACTAACGTCAACATCGCTTAAATCTCCTAGATTACCTGTGAATGTAACTTCTTTCCACTTGTATACATTATCTTGTAAGTGTAAAGCGTATAACTTACCATCGGTACCGGGTTTACCAAATCCTTCTGTGTCTCCGAGATCGGAAAGCGCAATTGTATTACATTGTCTGAGCGTTCCAGGGCCTGATGAATCAACCATTATTTATAATATGGAGTGTTACACTTAAGTATCCTATATGTACAGTTTGGTGTTTTACATCTAATACAGAAATTTTGAGGTCTGAAATAATACCACGCTTTAATTTTTTATATTGTTATGATGAGAAAGATTCCGTTCTACCGCTATTGCATTTTTCATCTTTTACTGGAACAGCTCTGAGTAGAGTTGAAGGACTTTCTAGTTGAATATTATCCATCGTGCTTATCTGATCAAGATGGATACACAACTCTTTATAGGGAACTAAATCGGGTAATTTAACTCCATGCACTGTTTGGTTTGCTATTATTGCGTCTCCTATTACAAATCCAAGTGTAACTGCTAAGCCCGATCCAAAAAGTATTTCCTTTTCTCCAGCGCTTATAATCAGTATCCCATTCGACTCATTTTGTGTGAGACTAGCTCCCAAAGGCTTTAAAATTTCATCATTGAGTGAGCAAACGCTGTAACACCCATCAGGTATAATACTGTTTTCAATTATAAATATCTCATTATTACCTCTTGCAGCATTTATATTGGTCCACCGAGGGTAATACGTTACATCGCATAGGGCAACTTCAAGTTGTCCATCCGAGTTATCGATAGTATGAAGCAGTTCAATAGACTGACCATTTGTTATTCCCGAGAGTGTGACATACATATTAAATATACAATGATACTATATCATAACTTAAATATGAAATCAACTTACATAACTAATCAGTCGATTTTAGTAAGTGCCTCTGGTGCTCAGTTTTTCGCTGAATTCCCTGATATCTTTGAAAAATACAGGGTCACAGCAACTAGTGATAAAATGGTGCACGATTGGTTTCACAATCCGATGCAATTTTGGCAGAATCAGTTAAACTTTGCCATATGGTGTGCAACAACGGGATGTGGTGTATCTCTTTATGCCCCAGGATTTGAACTAAATAAGTCTGTTTTATCATTAGATTAGACGTATACTTAAAGAAATTAGTGTCCCATTACCGCAGGATCGAGCATGGCATACATCAAATAATCCATACAATAGGTGGGCATTCGAACGTATTTGTCAGGAATTTAATATTTCTACGAGTAAAGATTGGCGCATTAAAGGAGTTAACCATGGTCTAGGTATTCTGTACGCTTGTACACACTCTGTTAAAGAAGGCAGCAATGATTTACTGAAAAGGGGTTGGCTCCTTCCGAGCTTTGCTCTCTCGAGTAACGAGTGGAGAGATGATCGTATGGACTTTAAGGGTGATGTTGCTTTCACCGTCCAAAAGGTTGTACAAATGAACGATACCGCAAACGCTTGGAATGAATTTCTTAATGATAAAACAGAAAATAATTTAACTAACCCAGGATTTGAAAGAGTTAATGAATCAATAAGAACTTATGTATGGGCAATTCTTGGTGCACAATCACAAACACGAATGTCCATTATTGATTCTGGGACGGCACTCGAAGCACAAAAACAGTTTGTCGCAAATGT